TTTATTTGAATTGAAGTGTAGGGGGCTTTTAATTCAACAATGCCCTTCCTGGGCTTGTTTTTGAGCTTCTGTCAGGCTTCTCTTGCAAAGCAGAAAAATCTGGGAGGGGCAGATTTCTGTTTTAAATCATTTCTTTCTGCATTAATTACGCCACTGGCCACTTCTTCTGTTTTTGTCCCAGTGTCAAGTCACATTCGAGTCTCTAGGATCTGTGCATTAGCACAGACACATCTCTGGTGACAGAGACGGCTCTGTAACTGCATCTTCCCTCCTGCCTGCCCCTGCCTGGGAGTGATGCCCCTAATATTTAAATATTCCTTCCCTCTTGTGCTATACGCAGGATAAATACTTCTATAAAGGTTAATCTGTATTTTGAAGTGACTAGACACGTTTGTGCAAGATGTTTTCATTTCTGCTTATATTAAAGTGGACAGCGGTAGCATTAAAATGTAAATCGTTAGGCTTTAAAGAAGCTTCTGTGCCAAAATTAATCTCCTCCTGTCTTTTATTTTTCATTATGAGTTTTGTTGCATTGCAGTGTCCATTTACTTGTAACTGTAATTGTCACGCAGGTGGTTTAGGACTTACTGGTAGTGGGATGGCTGCTGAACTAGGGGAAGAGCATGGTGTTGGCTTGTGTCAGTGCTGCTGCCTGGCCCACACCTATTCCTCAATGATTTTTTCAACCACCCTGATCACGTTTTCAAGACTGTCCATGTAGATTTTTCTTCTCTCCCTGTGATGGTGAGAGCTTTCTGGAAATAAGGTTTAACCTGGAGACTCTTTTTTGTCACTCACTACTTGTCTGTACACTGTAATAAATCTGTAATGTATTGTCACTGCTCTGAGGAATTTCATGGCTTAGATAGGAGCCTGTGGTACCAAAAATTTTGTGTAGCCTGCAGGAGCCCTTGTAGATAATCAAAGAAACACTTCCAATACTGAGATATGAGCTACTTAAGATATGTGTAATAGCACTAGGGAAAGCGTAGTAGCAAGACTAACCCTGCCAGTACCAAGAACTTCATACAGAAGAAACCAGAGAAGTTTTCTGGGTGAGGACTAAATTGCTGTATTCCTCCCCAAAAGACGTGCGCTCAGGGGAGCAGAGCTGCTGTGCAGCATCCCCATGGCGTGTCCCCGTGCAGGATGTGAAGAGCAAGAACAATATCTGACCATATGGGTTGCCTGGTGGATGAATGGACCTGGATGGTGTGGGACTCTCTCCAACTCAACCACTGCCACAGCCAATTACCTGTCAAATGAATTATTCAGTTAATGCTGGCAACAGTTATCTCCAGAGATGGCTTTGATATCTTTTCTCCTTTCTTCCATTTCCCTCCATTTCCTCCCTTCTTTTTTCCTTTGTTGTTGCAGAAAATGACCAGCATGGATGTCTTTCCACACTTCTCTCCCTCTCTTAATCATGTCCAGTTCAAATTATCCACCATTTGAGGAACTTTACCAGGCGCTTACCTAATAAGTTACCTTTGTTAACTCCAAACAATGATTTTGGGTAGAAGCTGGCGAAGGTTGGGCTACCTGGGGAGGTGGTGGTGCTGGTTCTTGCACTGGGTGTCAGGGGTTGCTCTGGGTCCCTCTGGGATGCATCCCCCCGGGACAAACCCTCCAGGTTCCAGAGAGGGGGCGTGCCACGGGGATGCTTGCATGGGCATCACGGGTGGGTGTCTGGTGCTGCTGAGCATTGAGAGCACCTCATAGATGGAGCTTAAACTAAATTGAAGGCAAAGCAAGAGTCGTGGTTAAAAGCAGATTAATTTGCTAACTTTGAGGAGCGAGAGGTATTTAGAAAAAAAAAAAAAAATTGGAAATGCAGATTCTAGCTGAGCACAAACTTCGTCATTTGATGGCTGAAATTCTCTGCTTTGTCGTGCCAGTGAATCTGCATGAAACATGATTTTCCCTGAGCTAAAGAGCTGACCTGGGTGGGGGAGGTAAGTACCCAGAATGGTGGATGAGCATAATTAGGACATGGATTGCGGGTTGGCTCTGTATAGATCAGTTTGTGTTTCGTTAATGTCTGGTTCCACCCTGTCTGTCTGTTTTATTAGATTAATTTATTACTTTCTGAAAGCGCCTCTCCAGTGAGCTAAAATATCTATTTACTGAAAGTATTTGGTTACCATGAAAAAGTGTATTTGGCTTGTGTTTGGCAAATATTAACTACTTTCTTCTGTTTCTTTTGCAATTTAATTGTCTATTTATCTTGGGTATTGATTGCTGAAGGCCTTGGTAATTATTTGCTGATTTTGGAAATAATGATTTTAAAGGCTCGGATTACTTTTGTAATATTAATCATTACCTCGGTGTGCTTGCCTCAAAGGATGGGATGTCTCTGACGGCTCCAGTTGCAACGTGGACATTTACTGTCTGCAACTATGCCGCCGTCTTAAAATAACAAAATCGTTAACTGGCGTTTTATTCCTGAAAGGAAGCAGATATTTGCAGAGACACAAATCTGGCAGTCGCAATTAGCTCTCAAATTTGCTGTTCTTATTGGTGAGAGGAGCGGCCACATTCTGGAGTCAAATAAAAAGAGAATTTTATTTACTTTCTGCTGTTTCTTTTTTTTCTCTTTCCAAATTAATTTCATGCTGTATTGGTCTCAGCTCTGGTGAGGGGTTGGTGGGGAAATGGGCTGCCCCTTCTCCAGGGGCAGCACAGCAGCAGCTTCGCTTGGTGGGAGAGGAGCCACGCTGCGAAAGGGTGTTACACTTGCAAGTAAATGTGCTGCCGTACAGCGGCACATCTTGCTTTGGGGGAAGGTGAGAAATTGGAAAGTCTCTGCCGGGAGCTGAGTAATTGGCACCTGCTATTATTGTGTCCCTCCTCCCCCTTTTAATAACTTGTTTGTAAAGATAACTCTCCTACAGATCTCATTACGCAGCCGTAAAACATGCTTTTTAAAAAAAAATACGTGCATTCCTATTCATGTCAGGTCTGAATTCCTTCCTCCTTATGTTTCTATATCTCCTGGATGTTTCTATAAGGAGAAGGGATAGTTTTTGTGTCATCCAGGCATCTTAACTCACTGTCGGGCAGACTCACGGGTGCCCATGGGGAGACGAGCTGTGTCCTTGCCATACCTGCAAGGAGATGTAATTCCTTCGTTAATACAAAACCAGTTAGAGTGGCTGGGAGGGGAATTTTGTCTTCTCATTGTTTTAGGCCTTGAAGCAAGGGATTGTGTTGGCAGCTTGAATGATGTTTGAATCAAGAGAAGTGTGGCCAGCAGGTCGAGGGAGGTGATTCTTGTCCTCTATTCTGGTCTCGTGAGACCCCCACCTCAGTGCATCCAGTTCTGGAGCCCCAGCACAACTCCATTAATAATACTTTAAAATTTCTGTTCTTTCAACTATGATGCAGTTTGGAAGTATTCTATAGCAATAATAGACAGGCTGAGAGAGTTGGGGCTGTTCAGCCTGGAGAAGAGAAGGCTCCAGTGAAGTCTTCGAACAGACTTCTAATACTTGAAGGGGCTACAGGAAGGCTGGGGAAGGACTTTTTACAAGGGCACGTAGTAATAGAACAAGGAGTAATGGCTCTAAACTGGAAGAGTGAAAAATTAGAATAGATCTGAGGAAGAAATTCTTTCCTATGAGGGTGGTCAGACACTGGAACAGGTTGCCCAGAGAAGCTGTGGCTGCTCCTCCCTGGAAGTGTTGAAGGCCAGGCTGGATGAGGCTTTGAGCAACCTGGTCTAGTGGAAGGTGTCCCTGCTGCTGGCAGGGGGGTTGGAACTGGATGAGCTTTAAGGTCCTTTCCAACCCAGACCATTCCATGATTCTATGTTGGCTTTATCTCCATTGGAGCTTGCACAGTGACGTGTATTACTAGAGAACACGAAGCGTGACGTTTAGCCTGCACCCCTGGGATCTCTAGTGCAGTGAATCCCACTTCTTTCTCTTGCGTCAAGTGATTCGTTTGATTAGTTTTAACAGTTTCATCCTTGTTCTTTTATTAGTGGATCGTGGCACATAAGGAAGCTGGGAGCATTTTTGGATCCTGTCCTGGATAATTTGATGACTAAGTCTCACTGAGGTTCATTTTTGTGCAGGTGCAGTGGTGCATCTCCCGCAGGGGATGCGGTGGGAAGAGCGTGTCCTCCTCCTCCCAAACACATGCGTGGGGAAGGAAAAGGAGGAGAGGGCAAAATAATGTCTGTGACAATTGTTTTCTGATTCTTTTCATTACCTTATAGAACAAAAATGATAAAAGGAGCCTCAGAAAAGAGGGCATTGCAGCAAGCCCTGGCAGGGATGTAATCTCTTTTCTTCATACCGAAGTATAAAGATAATTCCAATCGGGATTGAAGCAGCGGATAGCAAATAATTCTTGAACAATCCGCTTATGGTGTTCCAGGATGCGAATGAAAACCACTAATGGGATAAAGAAGGATCTAGATAATTATCTCGGCTGCATTAAATCCTGTGCTTTCAGGAGAGTATTCTTGTGTGGACACTAATTTCATGTGTATGAAATGCTAAAGCTGACTAGACGTTTTCAGAAGTTGGCTGATTCCAAAATAGCCGTCATTGCTTGGTGATCATCTATCTTTTATCTACCTGGTTGGTCCTAATAAATCTGATTTCTGGTCTCTGCTCTCCTGTTTCCTTTTTTCACCCTCTCTGCAGCAGGTTAAAGCTGTGACACACATTCTCTTCAGGGTGGATTTGAAACCTCCTTCATCCTTTTCTTTTTTTCATTTGCTCTGCTGTTTTGGGAGACTTCCTGGGGTTTTTTTTCCCTTTTACAGCTGGTAATGCTGTTGTTTTAAGTCTGAGGGAAGAGCTGCTTGCAATATTAAGGTATGCAAGATATTTTTTAATTTGATCTATTTTTTACCCCCAGCAAGAGCTCTGCTGTACAGTGTGGGGGACGGCACTGTGCTCCAAAACAAATCCAGTTGTACAGTCAGTTAATGAGGCTCTTGTTGGAGGCTATTTGCTGCCTTTGTGTTTGAACCTAATGGATGCCCCATGGATGAAGCAAAGGATGGCAGGAAGAGGAAGGAACAGTTTGGTATTGACAGCAACCATGACATTTGGATGGGGTTGGATCAGTTTACTGCGTTCAAAGATCTGCATTGCAGGATCTCTGTTCTCTACGACCCCATGGTCAGAGGAAATCTGCTGTTTGGAGGTATGGGTGACAGAAATGCACTTCTAAGAAGGAGCTGGTTCTTCGTTATCTCCCATCAGCTGCAGGCAGCTGCATTTGCCCGCTGTCAGAGAGTTGTTTCTCTCCAGCCTTACACTAAGGGAACTGAGGTCTGAACTGGCTGCAGCATCCTTCAGTGAGCCAGGCTGTGCATCCAGCAATGAGAGCCACGTCTGGGGACTGCAGTGGAGATGGCTGTCCATGAGCTGTCCTCCAGCTGGAAGAGGAGCATGGGCAGTTGGCATCACCCCTTTGCACACTGGAGGACAAATGCTGTGCATGGCTGTCTTCTTCGGAAAAGACTCCATCATTCACCGCGTGGAGAGTGCCCAATGGAGTTCCTTAGTGACAGACCCTCTTGAATCACAAGGTTCCCATCTTTTCTTGCTGGCACGGCAGTATAGTTAAGGTTCAGATATCTTTTGGAAATACAGAAGGGTTTCCTTGCTTTTAATGAGAAGTCAAGCAGTAAATGCTGTCCCATCCAAGGTGGACTTGGGTTTCCAATCTCCTTCATGTGACTCCAAGAGGTTATTAGGGCCAATCTTGCACTGAAACCCAATGAGTTTGTATGTCTGTTTTTGCTGTGGACTGGAAATTGCTTTTCACACCAGATAAGCAATTCACACCATTGTGAGCTGTCACCTGCCTGTCCCAACCAGAGGATGTCCTTAGAAGCGCAAGCCCTCCTATACCAGGCTTGGATTCGGGACAGGTGGCCTGCAAGAGAGTCTGACAGGCAATTAGGCATATCCAGATAAGGTTCACTTGCCTAGTAGGGCTGTGTGTAGAGAAGAGTGTACAGGAGATCCTTGCTTTCTCTGGAAGGCTCTTTAAGAAACTAATTACATTTAAGAAATGTGGTCACCTTTCATCTTGGTGATGTGCTTCTTGAACAGCAGCTCTTCAACTGAATTGCTCACATAGAAGAATCAGTATAAAGGTTCCTTCACCTCCTGGTCACAGTTGCTAGCCCTGTGGCTCTGTGAGCAAGGCTGAACTTTAATGGTGGTGCCTGGCATGGGCTTTTGCCCTAAAACTGCCGACATTCTGCAAGAAGAGTCTGGTGAGGTCTGGTGGTTGACCCCTAAAAATCGATCTGTTGCTGTGTAAGGCAAGATATCCAGATATCCATCTCATCTCTGAGAACACCAGCCCTCCTACATGCTCTTGACTTCCACAGAGATCCTAATGGGGATTTTTACCTGGTTCTTGATATTACTGCATGTCCTTTGAATGAACCAAGCGCTAAGAAATCTCATTACTTGCTCCTCATTAAAGGTGTCTGGTTAGCTGAGTTGCTAGTCAAAGTCTCCTTTCCTCCACCCTGTGCTGTGATGAAGTGGTACCCGGAGCTGTTGTGCCAAGTGTTACCTCCATAGAGCATAATAAACTATCTCCTGCCATCTCCTGCTTGGGTGAGCTGTACCCAGAGAGAAATAAAACACACTGTTTTTCTGGATGTCTGCAGAGCCCTCTCTGTGTGTGCATCGTTCAAATCACTTGAGAAAGGCAGATATTTCACATCTCTGGAAATCTATCAAGACAGTGGCAGATTGCTTAGGCTGAGTAGTGTTGTCTGTTCAGAACTTCTAAAATGCAGATAAAGAAGTATTCCTGTAATAGTTAAAGGTCAAGCAAAAATGATGACTGTTAGCCCTTCATAGCAGCTGTGGTTTTCAAAGGAGGAGTTTTACTGCTGAGATTGAAACTTCAAGCACTCATCTGTTGTTCCAGAGTGCTGGTTAATTATTCTTAAAGCCTTCAAACTAAAGGTGGTCATTTCTGCAGCTACCCCTGATGGTGACCCTGTGGTGGTCAGAAGCCTTATACAAGAGCAGGATCCTCTCTGGTGTGTCCTGAAGGTGCTGGGTACACAGGGAAGCCTTCCATGGCTTCACCATGAGAGGCTAGGCTAGGAGAAGTGGCTCTGTGTAGGTGGGACAGTCATCAGTGGCAGAATTGGCCATTTAAAATCCACATCTGCTCATTGTTTGATGGCCAAGATTGCTGCAGTGCTGGGGACAAGCATGGGGGTTGTTAGCGTCAGGCTTACAGATTCAGCAGAGGGGAGGAAAGGGGAAGGTGTTGGCAAGAGAGGGCTCGTAGGTGGGGAGAATTCAGATTGCCAAACTGTGCAGAAAGGGTCAAGAACTTCTTTTGTCTGCTGGTGTGTGGCATAGCGCACGGGTGAGAAGGTGTGGATCTATTTGTATGAGTACTCTTGTTTAGTTTGGCTTCCAGGAGAAGTCCTTATCTCTTCTCC